AAAATGGTCTAAAAAAAAACATGTGGCATTGTTAATTACGAATTTCCCTAAAAGTAACAACATGTTATGGACCTTAATGGAATGAATGAATTATCTAAATTACCTTTTTATTAAAACAACAAACAACGGGTAAATTACAGGTACCCATGCGGTAAAAAAAATTACATTTATCCCCTTGTGGATATATTACATTTACTACCTTGGAGTACATTTGAAAATTCATAACGAATATTCTATGAAACTTTCAATATTTCATTACTCATAACTCCATAAAGGTATAATTGTAAGTTGAATAAATAGCTCAGGTGGATATATGTAGTTACCAATATTATAGGGATTTGTAAGACATTTATTTTTACGTCAGGGGTGCCTGTAATTTACCTATAAATAAAATATAGAAAACATGGAAAAACTAAACAGAGTCCAAATATTGATATCTAATAATTTATTCGTTCAAATTTTTGTTGGTTTGTGAAAATTATATAGAAATATTTTACGATTTTTGTAAATAAATTAAAAATGTACTTATTGAAAAAAAAAAAGATAATTGTAATTATTTGTATATTTTCATTTTTTAAATTGTAAACACATTTATAGCAAGCGTGAAATGTTATTAAAGTTAATTAACATGAAATTACTATATTAATTTGAGGAAATTTGCTAGACACCCCTTATTTTGGATTTATATAGGTAGAGATCATAGTTGTTAGATGAATATAACAGCTGCTAGATGAATATAGGCATAAGTTCTTTGACAAAAAAAAATAATAGAAATAAAATAAAATAATTAGTACATAGACATAAACACCCTCAATTCATAAGAAACAAATCTCATATATCCTCTCTCTCCAATCTCACGTTTCTCTCACCCTATATTTACTCCCTCATCTCTCCATCTGCATCTCTCTCTCTCTCTCTCTCTCTCTCTCTCTCTCTCTCTCTCTCTCTCTCTCTCTCTCTCTCTCTCTCGTTCTTCTCTGTTCTTTTTTTTTTTCTTTTTCTTTAATTTTTTCTATGAAGAAATATTGTGGAGAAGGAAAAATAGGGATGTTTTTAGATTATGAGATATTTCTTGGTGAAAGAATTTAAGAGGACAACAAACATCTCCTCTCCTCTCCAAAAAAAATTCAAAAATCCAAAATTCTAGACAAAATTCGCATTATGTCTCCCGTATGTAAAACCTTCCCATCGTTTGTTGTTAGCAATTTCCATTTGCAGGTTGGTTTAACTTTGCCTGTTGTTTGAAGAATTGCGTTTGGTGTTGAGATTTCGATTCCTCTGGTTTACAATTTGCAAGGTATGTCTTAAGTTATATTTTACAAATATTTTGTTTAATATTTTTGATGTTTGCAACGTGTTCCATAAACATTTTTTTTGCTGGTGTTTTTAATGATGATGATTTTTTTTTTTTTCAGTTTAGTGTTTGCATTTGGCGAAGTCATAGGTAGTTTATGGCCTGCAATTCAATAATGCAAATTCTGCTGAATTTTTTTCTTCAGTTTGCTGTTTGCATTTGGCGAAGTCATAGGTAATTTTTTGTTTGAAATTTAATAATGCAAATTCTGAATGTTTTTCAGTTCGCTGTTTGCATTTGACGAAATCATAGGTAATTCGTTGTTTGCAATTCAATAATACAAAATTTAATTTTCAGTTTGCTATTTGCAGTGTACAGAGTCATTGGCGTCGCGGGTAGCGTCACAGTTCCCGGAGTTATCGGTAGCGTTTTTAGAGTATGAGTTTGTAAAATAAGTTGTATATTTCTTTTATGAATTAATTTATTTTTTTAGTTAATAATTGGAAGTGAGATTTTTTGGAATTTGTTTTGATAAGAGATTTTTTGGGATTTGATTTGATTTTAACTAAGATTTGCCACAATAAATATTATTAATTTATTAAAACATGGAATTTTTGATTTGGATCTACACACATAAATTACAATATAGAAGGGTTCCTATAGAAAATTGCCCCTATTAATTTAGAGATAATACATTATTAACATTACACCACATTTCAATGAATAAAAAAAAAAGCCGAAAACAATGAATATTCCAAAATATAAAAAGAAGTAGGGGATGCAATTTGTAATGCACATTATAAAATCACATATATAAAACTTTAAATGGCGGAATTATATATATATATATATAACTAAATGAATGAATGAATGTAATGAAACAAATAAAAAAAAGCCGAAAACAATGAATATTCCAAAATATAAAAAGAAGTAGCTAGGGGATGCAATTTGTAATGCACATTATAAAATCACATATATAAAACTTTAAATGGCGGATATATATATATATATATATATATGAATGTAATGAAACAATATTTAAAAAAATAGAGTTATATACAAAGAAAAAAAGTTATTGGTTAGATTTTTGTACATTCATCACTTCTTTATAGGAACGAAAACAAATGGAAAATTTTCCCTGAATAATTCATAAGAGATTCACAAAATTCTTTGCAATGCTTCGATGCACGATGTCGCCATACATAATACATATGTTAATGTTATTCATGTATCTACAAAAATAACAAATAACATGTTAGACTAAAAACATGTATATGCTTAAATAAGCATAAAAAAAAATATTATATGAAATAATGAAAGTACATGTAAAACATAATAATACCTGGGGAAAAAATTAAAGAAAGACAAATAATTTGCAAAACATGTTAAAAACGTTTTTTGGCTATAAATATAAAATAAAATTTATTAAAATACATTGAATAAAGTATATATGAATCTCTATTATAAATCAAGAAATACTCGATTTTTTTAGTTTTTATTACATGCTCAACTTCATTAACCTTAACTTTTTCCTTGTCGAAATAAAATTTACAATCATCGCATGTATAATCAAAAGATGGAAAAACAAAGATAAAATTTTGTAAAAATACATCCATACCATAAATATGGATCATATCTTTGCAGGCTACACAACGTCACATGACTTCTCTCTTGCCGATGTCGCTGCATATGACATAGACAATGCTATCCATGAGTTTTCAATAAACAAAAACAAAAAAGATGAGTTAGATTGTTATATATATGTATATATTTCAACAGATAAGATAATAAACAATACACAACAAATGACATGTTTCGGATGAACATGCCGAAAAATTAAGAAAAATAAAATACAATTGCAAAACAAAAAGACGAAAGAACAAAATGTTAGGCAAGTACCGTGGTTTGATGTGATTATAACAAAACGTGTGAAGGAAGAATGAGATGAATGAGTTAGGATCAAGAGTATTTATACTTAACTTTAACATCTTAAATAAGTTAATGAAAGGATATTAAGGAAACTGTATTTGTTGTAATAATTGATGAAAGTAGATCATGAAATTATATGGTTAATATTTGACCAAAATTATCGTCTTGAATAAATATAATATTCTTATATGGTTTATTTTATTTGCCATATTTATTGTATTACAGTTTACGTTATTATACATTTATTTACCATAGTGTTCAATTACATTAAATTTCATTTTGTGGATTTAGTTAATTACCATTTCAGCACACACACAAAATCCGTATGTAAAACATAAAGTCAAACATATACAAAATTAATTGAACAAATCAAATCAAGTGATTAAAATCATCCTCAACAACCTGTGTGTACACACACACACACACACACATATATATATATATATATATATATATATATATATATATATATATAATCACATTTCAATTTTTTATTACAATATTTCGTACTCCATATTTATAATTAGTTGAAAAATATTTATAATTTGTAAATTTAAAAAGATTAGAAAATATTAATGTAACGAATTATATTAAACTAACTAATTATATTGCCATAATATTAGTTTCTAAATTATGGCAAATTTTATAAGGAAATGTTTTAATTTTTTAGTAATTTTGGAAATATGTATTAAAAATGTTACCAAATAATGAAGATTTACAATTAATGAGGACTTTGTATGTTTATAAAGTATATGGAATAATTAATTCCACGTAAGATATGAGTAGGATGCCACATAGATATGCCACATGTCGATTTCTTAAGCTATGAGGGTTTCAATTTATATATTATATAGATTCTTCCACGTAAGTACTGGATCATCAATTCAGCTCAATTTTCACATTATTCACACCATTTGATCTTCCACGTAAATATTGATCATCAATCCAGCTCAATCTTCACCTTATTCACATATTCCAAGTGATGTGCTCCGGACAATTTGATCACTAATCGACATAAATCTTTCAATTATTGTAAAAAGATTTTATTCGAGCTGTTGAAAGAAACTTTCAATTTTATATAAATGCAAGTGAGAATATCATTTGGACCGTATATGAAAAAAGCATGGTCTAGATGGTCCACTAAATAAAGTTTGGTTGTCAATGTATTGAACTTGGTACACCAAATAAAACTAACAGCCAAATTGCAAGAGTACTATTCCAACATTCCAAAATTGAGAAAACCACAAAAATAAAAAAAATTAATAAAAATAATAAATAAATATTCACATGTGACCTAATTATTTTGATAAATGCACATTAAAATAATAATATGTGACAATGGCAAATTTTTAACTTTGAAGTTCACAAATTTGGAAATAAATTAATGTAAATACAATTCCGAATTTTTCGAAACGTTTAAATATAATAAATAAAATTCCATGAATAACCATTCGAACTGGGCTCGAACTAATGGACCAAGCACTCGCCTTCTGAGTGGGCCCATGGAACCACGTGGAGTGGGGCCCATTAAAAGTTTACAACAAACAGCGGCCCGCTTAACAAAATCCACTGTAATCCCCTCACAACCAATCGTGTGTCATCTCCCACGTGGGGGCTACTGACCCCCCCTCATGACGTCACCACTGCCATCATCATTATTTTATAGTGTTCACACCACCAACCTTCCACTTTCTGCTCTTTTATTTAATCTCTTCTTTTCTCTCTCTACTTTCAAACCCTAGCTGCTCTTATTTATTCACTCTATTCCTTCATCTTTCTTCATCAGTACAAATCAACAAAATTGTGTGTATATATTATATACAAGAATCATGGGATCACCAGATTCTGTCGAGTACATCCGCATGGTAAAGTATATATAATTTATTTATATTAAGAGTTTAATTTTTTTTAATTCTTTTTGATTTTGTGTGTGTGTGTTTTGGTGTTTGTGCGTGTTGTTTTGTCGGTTTGTGATCTTGGTGAATATAATATAAATATAATATAATAAACAGGTGCACCACCTAATTGAAGAGTGCATAGTTTTCAAGATGAACAAAGAGGAGTGCATGGAAGCTCTCACCAAACATGCAAATGTCAACCCAATCATTGCTTCTACAGGTTTTCATTATTTTTAATTTTTTTTTTAAATAATATATTTAGAAAATTAATTGTTGTTATATATATGTAAAGTGTGGAAGGAGCTAGAGAAAGAGAACAAGGAATTCTTTGAAGACTACAATAAGGAAATAGAAGAAAGAGCATCATCTTCAGCTGAAACAGATGAGAGTAGTGAGACAAGCCAAGTCACAGATGATGCCTCAATTAATTAATTAATCATTAATTTGTTGGGTTTTCCGACAATTAAATATAATCATGATGTTATAATTAATATTCGTCTGGTTCACTTTGTTGTAATATGTAATTAATTAAAGATTAGTAGCTAGCTGGTACTCTTTTTAATTACTGTGTTTTAGTAGTACTCGTGAAATATTGAAAACCTAGATGCTGTGTAAGGTGAGTATGCAGATTTGTTGTACGTTGGTTGTTTGTTATCGTGTTGGAGAATGTGATTTTAGCATGGATGATGGTGTGCTTTGGGTGCGACACGTGTGTGGCACGTGGCATTGTATCCTTCATCTTCTAGGTGATTTGTCACTTCATTTTTTAATGTGTTGCCATGCGGTGCGGTCTACAGATATTATATAGTAGTACAATTTTAACAAAACTAATATTATTATATTGTTGAAAAAAATATATCGGACGAGCTCGAGTCTGATTATAGTTGTCGTTTGCGAGCCCCATCCATGAGCTTCTTATTTATTTATTTGCTATTTTATTTTATATATTATACGATAAAATAATAATATTAATAATAAATTATTTGTTATTAATAAATATAATTATTTTATTAATGAGCTAATTATTTTTAAAGCTCGAGATCGAACTCAAGTTCACTGAAGTTTTTGTGACACGAGCCTTGCAAAATAGGTGAGTTCGGCTCATTTATACCCCTAGTGCAGATTGACGACTAAAAATCATTTTGTTGTACTCGATGTAGCATCTAATTAACGTATAGTAAGTACACACAAAATTCGGGACTTACAAACTTTACCAAACATATATGTCCAACATTCAATAAAATTATACATACATACATGCTACTAAATATAATTCCTTTTTTAAAATGTTTAGATTATATTTAGATTTGAAGGGAATTAGTCACAAGTGTACTTAACTAATACAGTTATGAATTATGAGGCTAAATAATTGGACTCAAGTAGACTATATATGTATTTAAATCCACCTTTATGAACTTCTTGGGCTGTTATTGTAGAAAGCCTATACTGAATTCCCCTAATCTGTATACATTTTAGCCCATTTTTAAAGTTTATTTTGGTTTACAAACCAAGGCATTTCATATAGGCTAGCTCACAGTGGTCGGCCCATTGGTCTTTCATATTTTTTGTTGGGCATTTATTATTCGTTTTTTTTTTTCAATTTTTTTATTTTATTTTAATAATATGCAGTTTAATTAATTATGACGACTTAATTCAATTATATTATATATACTTGGAAGCACGTGAACATGGCCATATCCACATTCATTAATCATATGTAGTCAGCAGCTGTATCATGCATGGTGACGACAGCATATATATGAAATCTGCACATTCTGTATATGTCATCCGCCGTGGCTACCTGATCAATCATACAATTCTGGTATATTTATATTATATAATCACTGTGTTTAATTAATTATATTGGCCATTTCTCCTTTCTTTTTTATTGTTTTAATTTTTTTAAATTCTTTTGGTAAATAACTATTATATATGCATGGACATAAACTCATCTAAAATATTAAATATATTTTTATTATTCATGATTATGATAATTAATATTATGGGTTGGAATAAGTGTCGTTTTAGTTTTAATAATATCACTTCGACTTTAGATATGGTTATGACTATTTTGGAGTCGGAATTTGGCAAAACTCAAAATAACTAGAATCATCAAAATTGGATGTCACAAGAGAAATATATGCATAAATCAGTGAACATATTGTCACATGTTTGATGTTTTGAGTTATCTAAAATTCAAATTGTTACTCAATTATGCATAACTTTGTCATTCGACATCCAATTTAATTATAGTAGTTCAAGTTGGATTAGAAAGCTAACTCAAATGACTATAATTTTTATATGTTGAAGTTTGCCTAAATAAAACTGAAATTTGGTCAAAATCACATTTGAACTCAAAACGAACAAAAACCCCCACCCCTCAAAAAAAAAAAAAAAAAGAAAAGCTTGTTAACGATTTACCGGGGGCGAAACAGAAGAACCAGTTTTTATTAGTTGTCACAAAAGATATTCTTCAAGTAAACCTTTAATTAGTTAGGTGTATAGAAACTACTCTTTTCATGTAAAGCAGTAAACTATGCCTGTAACTAAGATTTTGAAAGCAACACCTGAGATTCATCAGATGAAAAATATCCAAACAGATGTCATCTTAAAAAAACATTGAAGTCCAAATAGGGTTTGTTTCCATGTATATTGAAAATATTAAAAAAAAAAAAAAGCATAAAGAAAAAAATCAGCTGCTTGTGTAAATGTTATAAATATCACTTATTGCAAATTTAAATCTTGAGTTTTATTTTATCATATTTGGTCAATTCATTTGAGAGTTCCTCAAATTTTAATATAAAGCACTCCTTTTGTGAGATTAATTGCACCTTTTGTTTTAAATGTTATAAAATTAATTTAAATCGAAAAGGCGATATCATTTAAGGCTATTATGTGAATTTATTAAATGCTATAATCCAAAATATGAGCACATAGATTTCCTAATAATATCATCATAATCCCATAATCTACAAAGGCAATTAAAAATTAATGCAAACTTTTACGCATTAATTATGTTGAAATAAAAGTAGAATTATATTAAAAAAAAATGTTAATTTCTTTAAAATTTATAAAAAAAAAAATCTAATTACAACAATGCATACAATCATATTTAAATTAATATTAATAATATGAATATCCCGCTCAAAATAAAGAGGTGTTTGGTGGTAAATGGTAATGGCATAAATGTAATATAAACCCTGATTTTGCCGCAAACAAACAAAAGCGGGTAACTGATTTCAAAAAAGCCTTGACCAAACACATCAAATTTTATCCCTGGTTTGGATTTTCCCCACCAGAATTATTTGTCCTGGCCCCTACAGTTTGTTGTTGTACGAAATCGACCCCTCAAAATTCCTAATATTTTCCCAAATACCCCACAAATACCACCTGTGGCCTCCACGTGGCGTATAGTGAGTCTTAATTACGGGTTTACCCCACCTAGCCGGTATCAGGTATTCTCCCATTTCCCACCTCCGTTGTTTCGACCTATTCTAATTTCGAAATATCACTCTCTCTTTTCATTAATGTCCGCCTGCTTCTTCTCTGGCGCAGTTTCTCTCTAAAAGTATATGAATGTATGGATTTGTTTCTCTCTCTATAATTTTATGAACGTATGTGTTCTCTCTCTCTCTCTCTCTCTCTCTCTCTCTCTCTCTCTGTAATTCTCTCTCATGCTACTGATATATATATGTGTGTAACTTGAAAGCTCGCGCGCGCACACACACAAACTCTCTGTTACTTAATTACATGTGTATGGATAGGTGCAAACACTTTCTCTCTCTAGAAACTAGAATGCAGTAAGATGATCTGTTAACGGCACCTTTTTTCAGGATCGAAAAGCGATTTTTTTCGAGGTGGTATGCCGTGCCGCTTTTTTTTCTTTGGTGGTGATTTTGATTTTGTTATATATATTTTTTAATTAATTTTTAATCTATTCCTAATTATTCAAAATTTTCATTTCTTAATCTCGTTGATGTTATTTTAATTTTCTGATTTTTTTTTTTAATAGAAAATGGAGAAAACTAGAGAGAGGAGATCGAAGAGTGTTTCAGGAATTGAAGGTATAACTTCATAATCACTGGCTGCTAATTTATTTATTTATTTTTATTGAGTTTTTGATCTTGTGCAACTAATACTTTCTCGTTTATTTTGTGTTCGAGTTTATTGCATTTAGTACCACAGTACTATACTTATGAATATTAGCAAACAATCCTCATTATGCACTTTTTTTAGCATATACACCCTTGATCGGTACATTTTTAGGGGTGGTTTGCTAATAAGATTGAATTATAGGGAGATTTGTTAAATTTAATCCAATTCATTTCATCTATTAAAATTTGATTTTTCTTTTTTTCTAAATTTGTGCCGATTTTCTTTTTCTGCTACAGTAAAAATAAATACTATATTTCAAAAATTTATTTTAAAATATATTTATTAATTATTCCCAAACAATTATTTTGTCAGCTACAGACAGTTCTACAATTCAATAGTCAATGGGTTGAAACTAGGCCAGTTTCTAAAAGAAGATATATTAGCCCATTAAATTCAAAACGGGCCTTTGAAAGTTTTTCGGGTTGAAATTGGCCCACTAAATTTAAAACGGGCCTTTCAAAGTCTTTTTAAGTTTAAATTAAATTTAAAATGGGCTTCTAAAAAAGTCTTTTCGGATTGAAATTAGTTATTGTACACTAAAATTAAATATATTTACAGAGCAACTTTTTAGATTAGCAATGTTTACTGAACTGAGAGTTCTATCGGAAAAGTTTCCACCCTCTCCTTTTTGTTGCCACCGCCGTTTATTTTCGAAATAAATTTCACGAAATCCGGCGTCGTAAACCTCTACATGTTAATTTTAAGGTAATTGTTGTTGCTGTTGTTGCTGTGCGCAGTCTTCTGAACAAGCAGCATTTGTTGTAATCATCAACTCCATAAATCCTTTTGATTAATTTATAGTTTGGGATGAATTTATTCATACATGCTAGGGTTTCAATTGATGCTGGATGCATTGCAGACTCTCTGCTTTCACTCTAACAATTTATTGATTATGTTATTTAATTTTCCCTGATTTTCTAATTATTTGATGATGGAGTGTTTCCGTGTAGGAATTTGCGCTGCAATTAAACTGTGTGCATTGATAAGATCTTGATGTTTCCGTTTTCAATTTTTGTGCAGGAGTGCTTCAGATTCAGAAGCATAGAGCTTCTAGCAGATTATCTTCGGAATCTCGTGCTTATTACGATGAGAGCTTTCGAGGCGATATGGTAATTCCAGTTAATCTTTGGCATTTACATATATTACGCCTTACGATTCTAATTGCTGATGTTTGATAATGTTTATATGATCAACCAATGCAGTTCGCTCTGGATTTGGGACAAAGCTCCTTTAGACGAGCCACCGGGAGGCCAAAGTTGCCGGATGAAGACATGTACAAACAATGCCGTGTTCATAGGGAACAAAATATGTTGTCTGAAAGTTTCCGACAGAAAAATGTTTCAACTGAACAACTTTACGATGGCCGATCAAACAGGAGAAGTGCAATGAAGCAGCTAGAATTCATAGATGTGCACGAGGATCTGGAATCGTCGGGTCTCCTTAACCCACGCCGTTCGTCAAGATGGAGCCGGAGATCCATGCTTACGAAATCTGACGTGGAAATCGTGCAAAAGCTCAGGGAATCGAAAGAGCACGATGATAACCTCGACTCGAAGGACTTGTTCATGGAATCTGATCGGAATCGGAATTACTCAGTTGTTGATTCTGCAAAGTTTGAAGGCAATTCGAAAGCATGGATGTTGGAGAGAGATAATATTGGTGAAATTGGTCGGTCCGATGGTTCTCTGCTAGTTGAACCTCACAATCTACGTAGAGTTCGTACTTCTCGCAAATCCTCCATAGTTGAGTTGGAAGAGAAAGATAATGGGAAAAGTACAAGAATTGTTGTACTAAGGCCAAACGCTGGTGATATGCAGAGTGAAGGTCTACCTGGTTCATTACCATATGATTCACGTGGTTACTTGTCCAACTATAGGAAAATGAAGGAGAAATTGAGTATTGGAGGTGCCGGAAGAATATCAGGGAGAAGGAAAGATTCATTTTCTAATGTGGAATTATCGAGGCCTGTCTCCGCAGAAGCTAAAAAAATAGCTAGGAAAATTACGAGGAGAATGAGAAGTGGTTGTAACGAGGTTGTGGATTCATGGTTCAGAAAATACGTAGGGGAAAAGGATTCGTGTGATGATGATCTTGGAAGTGATTCCGAAAACGAGTCCGAGATGTTTCGATTGTCATCTAGAAATTCATTCAGTGATGATAAACAATGGCGCATGTATCCATCTTCTGGTTCAGTTGAGCCGTCTTTTAAAAGGGAGGCAAAGAAGAAAATTTCTGAGAGGTGGAAAATAACTCAAAGCTATCAAGAATTGGAAATAGTTGACAAGGGTAGCACACTTGGTGAAATGCTTGGCATACCTGATGGAGAAACAAGGTTTAAAAGTTATGCTAAGACGAACAAAACTGGAAATGGATCGAATGATAAAATGCGTAGAACTTCATCTCGATCGAGGTCTCTTCCTCCTTCAGTAGGTGAAAGAACTAACAGTAGGCGCACTGAAGAAAAACATATGATAATTAACGACCCCTTAAGCTGTGACAAAAATAAAGTTGGTAAGGGAAATCTAAGCCGTAAAGATTATTTTTCATCTCAAGATTTGAAATGCAGGAATAAGAACAAGAAGTCTCTTCCCTTTCAGCACATGTATACTAACGAGATAGGCTCTTCGTCTGAAGCTAATTTCGAGATTCAAATGGAACCGAATGTTAAGGACTTACCTGATATCAACAGGAGAAGTCCTGTAATAATTTATGAACGTGAAAGTACGACAACCTTTTCTTCCAAATCTTCCGTGTTGCAGCCAAAGAAGTCTTCAGTTATTGACGATAAAGACAATGCTCCTAGTCATGATCAAAACGACTTCACTATTCAGGTTCGTCTTCACTTTCCTCAAAACGGATTTTTCATGTGTATGCTTGACTATCCAGAAAGCTATGTGATTATGCCTCTTTGTTTGTAATTCTGATTTTTTTTTTTAAGTTTTCCGTTTCCTATAATCTTGATTACAGTTGAACTATAATTTTTGGTTTTCTCTGCTTTTTGCTAGAGTCTAATATTGCTTCTATGGAGTGATGTTCTTTCCCTAGTTTTACTTTCAGTGCTGCTTAGTTTGTTCCGACAATAGTCTGTGCGTGGGCACACCTTTTCATGAACCTTGTTTTTATGTAATAATGGATGTTTTATGTTGCAAATCAGATTTCGCTTAGTAGTTACATTACTGAACTGGCTTTTCGAGATAAATCTATTTCGAGATTATGGCTTCAATTTTGGTAGATATTTAGATTGTCTTACTTTCGAGGTGATCTATATTATTATGTAGAGATCCTAAAAAGAAGAACAATTAGTTTCGTATCTATCGAGATGATATGAGGGGCTTGAGTTATGCATGTGGCTTAGGTAGACCCCTAATCCTTACAAGTATCGGCCTATCTAAGCAGAAAATTAAGAGAAAGAAAACTATCGATGGCCGCTTCCAAGAAGGAAATTTCCAAAGGTAGAAAAACATATTATGAAAAATAACGACCAAGACCGAATAATGAGGAATCCAAAAGAAAAGTACAACCACAGAAGCCGACAATGGACCGTGTTTGCTTACAACTTCGCGTGGGCCCTCAAGATCAAGGTGTAAGATTGGGAGCAAATGGAGTATGGCTTAGGACACAAGCATGCGACATGTAGGCAATTGTTCAATCCGCGGTAGACTCCATCTCAACCTAAGACAATTCAACAACGTAACACAATCGAAGTACGAAAAAATCCTATACATATCGCGTGAATGTCTATTCTTCACATGGAGCAACAATTTTAGGCTTTCTAGTCCAAATAGAACAATATCCTATTGGAAAGAATTCTACTGACGACCATTGGGAGTTCTTAAAGAGCATTGAAGATTGTCTTAGTACAACATATGATTGGTTTAACTTCTAAGGTACCTATGCTAATGGTGCATGGTTGTGTAAAATGAGTGAAATTAAGCATGTTTTGTCTTGTACGAAGGTTGTTTAGTTACCTCATGTTATTGAATCGTTTGCTCTTACAATTATCAAGAGAAGTTACCGTGCCAATAAGAGTCATCATTGTTATTTTCCAACACTCTATTTTTTGTGAAAAGCCGAATCTTCAGAAAAGATGCGCTACAATCTAACATTTTCCAAAAACTTAAAGATGCTCTTTTTTCCTTGAGAACTTGACATCTCATTTTATCAAGTCGAGATTTGTTTCCATTAATATATGGACAAATCATCATTTCATTACCCTTCATATTGTCAACTTGCTTTTAAACGACGTAACCATTGGACAGTGTTTGAAACGAAAGAGATTCATCAATAAAGCCGGTAGTTTTCGGTTACCTCCTTATGGACTCTAATCAAATGTCTAGCTTTCCTCGTTAAAGCTCTCTAGATTAGGTTATTACACCTCTTTGGCAAACGCTATGTTAACGAGAGCTTGTAACCAAATCTAGTAACATAATGTCCTAAATATGCACCATGCATACGACTTTTTCACCGTATCGTGTTTTCACTTGATAACTACCGCATCAATGAAATTGGAGATCATATGAATTTCATTTTCCTTGAAAAGTCATGTTGGAGGGTTAGGTGTGGTATTAACTTAAGGAAACTCCTCATTTTCGCCTCGTTTATCTATAACGCAATACATATGCCATTTCATCGACAATCCATTATAACTCTTCCGTGATACTATTTGCCTTTTGAGCCACATTTCTTTGAAGCTATGCTATTGAATTGAAAACTTGTGCCATGATTATGCATGACGTTGCAATGTGGTGCAAATATGTTATGCTTGATCTTATAACGTAAAAATAGGATAAATGCTAGCCTAAACAATGGAACATTAGTGTTAAATTGGATTTGGCGACGAAAATGTGGAACAATATTATCAATCTTTGTGACATTTCCCACATTTCGTTGCAATGAGAAAATTAACTCTTCTTTTTAACCAAAAACCGTTTTTTGCGATTATGCGACAAAAACGTACTTTTTGTTGCAAGATTTGCGATGGGATGTATTTCGACATTTTTCCGCCGAACCCATTATGGTTTTTTTCTTCAAAATGCTGAAATTCCGTCCCAATTTGGACTCTTTTGTTGCAAATTTTCGTTGACCGCTTCCACTTCTTTAATTAGTGGTTAATAAATTCAATTTTCGCGTACTTCTGCAATATATGAAAAACGACCCTTTTTAACCGAAACATGTTATTATTAGATGTGTTGGATTTGGCAATAGACATGCGGGATTTTTCATTTTCATTTGATTTATGGATAGCCAAGTGGCATGTTGGACACGTGTCGTAGGCGGATTATGTCCGACATGCAACAATGATCTTTTTGGAGTGTCACTTGTTATAGCTGCTCACTAGTCCATGTTGTTTTGCACACAGGACTTGCCATAACGAGTAGTTATCTGAAATAAGAAAACAAAAGTAGTGTTAGTTACGCTGATAAATTGACTGCAGTTGCTAAAGCTGCGTAAATGTGTTTTTTGGTATAAATTGGTTGGCTATAAAGGTGTAAATTTATCGTGTCAGTATCTTTACGTACTGTATTCAATGCAATATTTATGCAGTTCTTAGTGACAATAAGGCTCTCATCAATTTTGCATGAGGGATTCTGTTGTGTTTATTAGGTATTTGCCTGCAGTCACGAAACACATTTATGTTACAGTATATTAGTTGAATCATAAATGCTTTGTTCGTGTAATAATTACTCGATTTTGATTGGTGATGTTTTAGGAACTTGACAAAGGACCACCTAAAGAAGGTTCTCCTTCATTGGCTTATTCGGAATTCTCCAAGGAGGCTGATCACGCTAGTCCTGTCTCGGTTCTTGCACCTTCTAGCTTCCAAGGTTTTGAGGAAGTCAGTGCTGCACTAAATGGTACGAAAATTTGCTACTCTCTACTATTTTAATTGCCTGTCAGAGTAATGATAGTTATTTGATGTTGAATTTGTTACTAAGTCCTTCAGGCAATACTTCTTTAATTGCAGTCCATTTTTGTGAGATCAGTTGGTTTTTCTATACACCCTTTCTCCATCAGATTTTGTGTATGTGTGTGTGTTTGCTGATTCCGACCATTTTGATAAACTACTAGCCTTTGATTTTCACGTAGATAATTAGTTTGTCCACTGAAACCGTGGTTGGTAGTTGATACATGAATTACTAGTATGAATGACTTTTATAAATATTTTGTCCTCCCGTGATGAATAGAGCAGAAGAGTGGTGGCAATAGGAAGCAGATTCCGTTCCAATTTTTTCGATTTTGGAACAATATTTTTCATTCCGAATTCCAAATTTCCGATTTTTCCAATTTTTTTGGATTGGAATTGAAATATATTTGAGATTTTGATTTCCGGTCCGATTTCAATTTCAGATATTTCGAAAATTCCAATTTTTTTCTGAACTTATAATACCCATATTATGATGTATTTTGTATTTAAATGACTAATCATTTGGAAGTTTTCGATTTCCGCCAATTGCGATCCGATTTTGGAACAAGTTTTTTTGTTCAATTTTCCGAAATTACGATTTTTTTTAATGAAATTGGATCTAGTTTTCACTTCCGGAAAAAATCGGGATTTCTCCGAAAGTGCTAATACCGATCTGATTCGTCTGATTTCCACCCCTAATAGAGCTACATGTAGATTTATGTTTTGAGAAAAAGCAGCCGACAAATGTACGTTCATTTTATTTCGTCATAAATACTTAAAACAATTATTTGACCGCAGAATTTCCAATTTTCCTTTTTCTTTTGTAGAGCTCCGAATGCAATTGCAGCTGCTGAAGATGGAATCTGACTCATATAACTCGATATCCACTCTTGTCCTAATTGAAGACGAAAATGCACAACTATCTTCACTGCTTCCAAAAGGCTGGAAACTCTCTTACATTCTTGACGTGCTTATCCACTCTAATCTTCGAGTATTTAGCTACGACATGTCTGTGATGACGTGGCACTCCAACAAATCCCCATTGGATCCTAACTTGTTCGACAAACTCGAGAAGAAATACGCTGATCACGAAATGAATGAGCCGATGCTGGAAAGGAAGTTGCTATTTGACGGAATAAATTCAACACTATTGAAGATTCTTCAACAGAAGCTCGATCTTTGCCCTTGGGTGAAACCGAAATTAGCAGCACTGCCTTTGATTTCGCAGAAGGAACGAGTTGTAGACGCTCTGGAGAAATTGATCAACGAAGAATCTCCGTATGGGCAGGTAGATGAGAAGCTATTAGTCGACAAGGAGATGCTGTTTCAAGATTCTAAACGAGAAATGAACTTATTAGGTAACGAAATTGGGAATTTGTTGATGGATGACATGATAATCGAGATTCTTGCGTAACTGCTCGTGTTAGGTTTTTTCCCCCCCGCAAAGAAAGCTGGTGATTTTAAGTTGGTATAACATAGGCGATGAATTAAGAATAAAGTCGGAATAAGAAGTTACAGACAGGTTTCTTTTTTTTTTTTTTTTAGGCACATCAGACAGTTTCATGTTTCTTTGATGTGTTGCAAGAATATGTTGAGAGGAGTGTCTAGAGAATTCTAGAATTATAGGGTTTGTAGTTTTTTTTTTCGATTGGTATAATTAATTAAATAATTGAGTTTTATTTGGTATTTGATTAGTGCAACAATACATTTTTCAAGGTGACTCAATTTTACCAACCCTCGTTAGAAGAGTTGGTACCTAACCTCTACTCTGAGTTGAGGTCTATGGATCGAATTCTGCCCCCTCCCGTACTTTCCCAATTTGTAACATGATTCGATTTCTAGTGAATAATCAATGCATAATAATTTTTTATCACAAAATAAAAATAAAAAGGGCATTATGGGAATGCAAATGCTGTAATAGTTCTCGATAATTCTCAAACACGAACAAAAACACCGGAATGAACATTAAATAATTTACACCAGCTAACTGCTAGATGCAATTGAATTTCTAATTAAGAAGAAGAAAAAAAAATAAAAAAAAAAATAAATAAATTAAAAAAGAGCAATTATCTATCTGCAACTTGTAATGCTGCAGCTTCTTTGTAAGCATAAATGGTGGATTCAGAGTAAATGAGGTTGTCTGGGATTGAATTAGATGGCCATAACTGGGCATTGGACTTCACCTTAGATATGCTTGAAAGTACATTCGCCGGAGTTACGTTTCCGGTCACCGTCACCTTCTTCGCCGCAAAATCTATCTCGAAAGACGTTACCCCTATAAATATTCCACTTAGCTTATTTATTATCTATCTCCACAAATCATAAATATATTATACTACACAACAAATAACACCACCTTAATTATTATAAAAATAAAAATAAAATAATTTTTTTTTACTAACTTGATGATGTAATCTTATGGGAATTGGCAAAAAATGAAATAAATGGTTGTTGGAAATTTATTTTACACCAAATTACTGCCAGCCCCCTAAAGTAAGGTCAAATTACAAAAAATCCCACTTGTTTCGATAATTACAACAATTCCTCAACTACGTATTATCTTACAATTAAAAGATGAGTTTTTTGGTAAGACAATACGTAATTGAGGGATAGTTGTAATTATCCAAATATATGGGTTTCTTTTCGTAATTTAAGCTTACCTCAGGGGTTGGACGTAATTTGGCCATAAATATATGATGATGCATTATATTTAATTTGACATATATCTAATTAAGTGAAAAAAGCGACAAAAAAATAGAGACCTTCCATCCTAGAGAGATGTTTTCTCATTTTCTTTTCACATCCTCTGCAGTGCAAAGACACTCTCAGTACTACTACAACAACCTCCTCCTCCTGCAAATTTATTCAACAAACAAACACTACTCATCTTTACATGTACATATATACATACATATCTAAAACCCAGATGAATTATAATTAACCTGGTGGTGGTGGTCAGGCGGCGGCGGCGGTACGGCGTCGTCGGAGATGAGTTCCTCCTCTGTTTTACTATCATCAAGAGACAACTTTTCTACGACGGTATCGAAATCCTTAAAGGAAACAAGCTTATCTGTCAACAAATACCTAGTAGAGCCATGTGGGCTGATAAAATCACCCGCCTTGGTGGTGCACCTCCAGCTCTTTCTTCCTGCATTCACGGCGGCGGCACCACCGTTATTATCACCACCGTCAGTTTTACCGCCATTTTGTTGTTCTTCGTCGGTTTCTTGAAAAGGGACTCTTTTTATATTCTTCTTCTTCTTCTTGGGGGTGATGGGTGGCTGAGTGGAGCTGGTGCACGGAGGGAGTACGGATTTTGTGATTCTTTTTGCGTCTTTGATGATGGGGTTGTGGCGGTCGATGGCTCTGCCGGCGGCGGCGCCGTCGTCTCCGGCGGCGGCGGAGAGAAGGAAGGCGGAGGAGGAAGGAGTGGAGGACGATGAACCTTGTTCCATGCTAAGGCAAATGGCTGTTGCAGCTTGTGATGCGCAGAATATATCTATTCCTTTCATTTTTCGATCTAATATTCTGATAAGGTTGAATTACTTCAAAATGGTTTTTTTGGAGAATCAATTTTTCTTTTCTGGGTGAAGAGAGAGAAAGAGAGAAAGACAGATGAGAGAGAGAGAGAGAAGTTAAAATGGAGAGAGAGAGAAGGTAAATTGGGAATATATATCGCCTCTTTCCTCCTTGTGAAAACCAGCAAAATTGGAATATAGGATTAATATTAGGGTAAATTATGTTTTCACTCTCTGAAATAAGATTAAATTACGAAAAAACCTCTCATGTTTGGATAATTACAACAACTTCTCAACTATGAATCTTCTTACACGTTCACTCATATAGTGTCAAATTCAACATGATCTTTTCGATTTCGTGGAATATTCGCTAATTTGTATTCGTTTTGTACAAAAATGAAGTTTTTGATGCACCACAATCTGATGTTTACAAGCCAAGAGACACATCTTATGATTATCTTGTTTCAACATGTTGAGCTCGAATAGTACAAAACATGTACAAATTGAAGAATATTCCACTAAATTTGACACCGGAAGGATGAATTTATAAGAAGATTCATATTTAAGGGTGTGATTGTAATTACCTAAACATGATTTTTTTCTTAAATTAACTTTACATCATGGAGGTGGCCGTAATTTGCCTTTAATGTTAAAGCTTTTCTTGTGCTAAAAACTAAAAATGTACTAGTGCTATATGATAAGATAAACTAAGATAGCAGATACTAACAATAGTAATAATTTTATGAAATTTATACAAACGCTATGTTAATGAGAGTTTGTTACCAAATCTAGCAACATAATGTCCTAAATATGCACCATGCATACGACTTTTTCACTTGATTTGCATATATTTTGTTTAATTGAAAGCCTTCAATGCCTTCTTCTTCTTGTTTTTTTTTCTCGGTATCTTGTTTTCACTTGAAAACTATCGCATCAATGAAATTGGAGATCATATGAATTTGATTTTCCTTGAAAAATCATGTTGGAGGGTTAGGTGTGGTATTAACTTAAGGAAACTCCTCATTTTCGCCTTGTTTATCTATAACGCAATACATATGCCATTTCATCGGCAATCCATTGCAACTCTTCCGTGATGCGATTTGCCCTTTGAGCCACATTTCTTTGAAGTTATGCTAATTGAATTGAAAACTTGTGCCATGATTAAACTTGTGCCATGATTATGCATGACGTTGCAATGTGGTGCAAATATGTCATGCTTGATCTTATAACGTAAAAATAGGATTAATGCTAGCCTAACAATGGAACATTAGTGTTATATTGAATTTCGCGACGAAATATGGAACAATATTATCAATCATTGTGATATTTCCCACATTTCGTTACAATGAGAATATTAACTCTTTTTTTTAACCAAAAATTGTTATTTGCGGTTTAGCGACAAAAAAATACTGTTTGTTGCAAGCTTTGCGATGGGATGTATTGGGACATTTTTCCGCCGAACCCATAATGGGTTTTTTCTTCAAAATGCTGAAACTCCGTCCCAATTTGGACTCTTTTGTTGCAAATATTCGTCTACGGTTTCCACTTTTTTAATTAGTGGTTAATAATTTCGTTTCTCGCGTACTTTCTATAATATATGAAAAACGACCCTTTTTAACCAAAACATGTTACTATTAGATGTGTTGGATTCGGCAATAGTCATGCTGGATTTTTCATTTTCATTTGATTTATGGACAGCCAAGTGGCATGTTGGACACTTGTCGTAGGCGGATTATGTCCGATATGCAACAATGGTCTTTTGGAGTGTCACTTGTTATAGCTACTCACTAGTCCATGTTGTTTTGCATACAGGACTTGCCATAACGAGTAGTTATCTGAAATAAGAAAAAAAAAAGTTAGTGTTAGTTATGCTGATAGATTTACTGCGGTTGCTAAAACTGCGTAAATGTGTTTTTTGGTATAAATTGGTTGGCTATAAAGGTGTAAATTTATCGTGTCAGTATCTTTACGTACTGTATTCAATGCAATATTTATGCAATTCTTAGTGACTATAAGGTTCTCATCAATTTTGCATGAGGGATTCTGTTGTGTTTATTAGGTATTTGCCTGCAGTCACGAAACACATTTATGTTACACTATATTAGTTGAATCATAAATGCTTTGTTCGTGTAATAATTACTCGATTTTGATTGGTGATGTTGTAGGAACTTGACAAGGGACCACCTAAAGAAGGTTCTCCTTCATTGGCTTATTCGGAAATCTCCAAGGAGGCTGATCACGCTAGCCCTGTCTCGGTTCTTGCACCTTCTAGCTTCCAAGGTTTTGAGGAAGTCAGTGCTGCCCTAAATGGTATGAAAATTTACTATTTTAATTGCCTGTCAGAGTAATGATAATTATTTGATGTTGAATTTTTAACGTAAGTCCTTCAGGCAATACTTCTCGAAATGTAGTCCATTTTTGTGGGATCAGTTGGTTTCTCTATACACCCTTTCTCCATCAGATTTTGTGTGTGTGTGTGTGTTTGCTGATTCCGACCATTTTGATAAACTAGTGCCTTTGATTCCCACGTAGATAATTAGTTTGTCCACTAAAATCGTGGTTGATAGTTGATACATGAATTACTAATATGAATGACTTTTATAAACATTTTGTCCTCCCATGATGAATAGAGCAGAAGGGTAGAAATAGGAAGCAGATTCCGATCCGATTTTTTTTTTTTTTTTTTTTTGATTTTGGAACAATATTTTGTCATTCCGAATTCCGAAATTCCAATTTCCAATTTTTCCGAATTTTTTGGATGGGAATTGGAATACATTTGAGCTTTTGATTTTCGATCCAATTTCGATTTCGGAAATTAATTTTGAAAATTCCAATTTTTTTCTGAACTTATAATACCCATATTATGAAGTATTTTGTATTTAGATGACTAATCATTTGGAAGTTTTCATTTCCGCCAGTTGCGAGCCGAAAATTTCCGATTTTGGAACAAGTTTTTTTGTTCAATTTTCCGAAATTACGATTTTTTTTAATGAAATTGGATCTAGTTTCACTTCCGGAAAAAATCAGTATTTTTCCGAAAGTGCTAATTCCGATCCGTCGGATTCGCACCCCTAATAGAGCTACATGTAGATTTATGTTTTGAGAGAAAGCAGCCGACAAATGTACGTTCATTTTATTTTGTCATAAATACTTGAAGCAAATTATTTGACCGCAGAATTTCCAATTTTCTTTTGTAGAGCTCCGAATGCAATTGCAGCTGCTGAAGATGGAATCTGACTCATATAACTCGATATCCACTCTTGTCCTAATTGAAGACGAAAATGCACAACTATCTTCACTGCTTCCAAAAGGCTGGAAACTCTCTTACATTCTTGACGTGCTTATCCACTCTAATCTTCGAGTATTTAGCTACGACATGTCTGTGATGACGTGGCACTCCAACAAATCCCCATTGGATCCTAACTTGTTCGACAAACTCGAGAAGAAATACGCTGATCACGAAATGAATGAGCCGATGCTGGAAAGGAAGTTGCTATTTGACGGAATAAATTCAACACTATTGAAGATTCTTCAACAGAAGCTCGATCTTTGCCCTTGGGTGAAACCGAAATTAGCAGCACTGCCTTTGATTTCGCAGAAGGAACGAGTTGTAGATGCTCTGGAGAAATTGATCAACGAAGAATCTCCGTATGGGCAGGTAGATGAGAAGATATTAGTCGACAAGGAGATGCTGTTTCAAGATTCTAAAGGAGAAATCAACTTATTAGGTAATGAAATTGGGAATTTGTTGATGGATGACATGATAATCGAGATTCTTGCGTAACTGCTAGTGTTAGATTTTTTTTTTTCCCGCAAAGGAAGCTGGGGATTTTAAGTTGGTATAACATAGGCGATGAATTAAGAATAAAGTCGGAATAAGAACTTACAGACAGGTTTTTTTTTTTTTTTTTTAAGGCAAATCAGACAGTTTCATGTTTCTTTGATGTGTTGCAAGAATATGTTGAGAGGAGTATCTAGAGAATTCTAGAATTATAGGGTTTGTAGTTTTTTTTTTCGATTGGTATAATTAATTAAATAATTGAGTTTTATTTGGTATTTGATTAGTGCAACAATACATTTTTCAAGGTGACTCAATTATACCAACTCTCGTTAGAAGAGTTGGTACCTAACTTCTACTCTGAGTCGAGGTCTAGGGATCGAATTCTGCCCCCTCCCGTACTTTCCCAATTTGTAACATGATTCGATTTCTAGTGAATAATCAATGCTTAATAATTTTTTATCACAAAATAAAAATAAAAAGGGCATTATGGGAATGCAAATGCTGTAATAGTTTTCGATAATTCTCAAACACGAACAAAAACACCGGAATGAACATTAAATAATTTACACCAGCTAACTGCTAGATGCAATTGAATTTCTAATTAAGAAGAAGAAAATAAAATAAAAATAAAAATAAATAAATTAAAAAAGAGCAATTATCTATCTGCAACTTGTAATGCTGCAGGTTCTTTGTAACCATAAATGGTGGATTCTGAGTTAATGAGGTTGTCTGGGATTGAATTAGATGGCCATAACTGGGCATTGGACTTCACCTTAGATATGCTTGAAAGTACATTCGCCGGAGTTACGTTTCCGGTCACCGTCACCTTCTTCGCCGCAAAATCTATCTCGAAAGACGTTACCCCTATAAATATACCACTTAGCTTATTTATTATCTATCTCCACAAATCATAAATATATTATACTACACAACAAATAACACCACCTTAATTATTATAAAAATAAAAATAGAATATTTTTTTTTACTAACTTGATGATGTAATCTTATGGGAATTGGCAAAAAATGAAATAAATGGTTGTTGGAAATTTATTTTACACCAAATTACTGCCAGCCCCCTAAAGTAAGGTCAAATTACAAAAAATCCCACTTGTTTCGATAATTACAACAATTCCTCAACTACGTATTATCTTACAATTGAAAGATGAGTTTTTTGGTAAAACAATATGTAATTGAGGAGTGGTTGTAATTATCCAAATATAAGGGTTTCTTTTTCGTAATTTGACTTTACCTGAGTAGTCAGGACGTAATTTGCCCATAAATGTATGATGATGCATTATATTTGACATATATCTAATCAAGTGAAAAAAGCGACAAAAAAATAGAGACCTTCCATCCTAGAGAGATGTTTTCTCATTTTCTTTTCGCATCCTCTGCAGTGCAAAGACACTCTCAGTACAACTACTACAACCTCCTCCTCCTGCAAATTAATCCAACAAACAAACACTACTCATCTTTACATACATACATACATATGTAAAACGACTCAGATGAATTATAATTAAATTAAGCAAATAATTAACCTGCAGATGGTCAGGGGGCGGCGGCGGCGGTACGGCGTCGTCGGAGATGAGTTCCTCCTCTGTTTTACTATCATCAAGAGACAACTTTTCTACGACGGTATCGAAATCCTTAAAGGAAACAAGCTTATCTGTCAACAAATACCTAGTAGAGCCATGTGGGCTGATAAAATCACCCGGCTTGGTGGTGCACCTCCAGCTCTTTCTTCCTACATTCACGGCGGCGGCACCACCGTTATCATCACCGCCGTCAGTTTTACCGCCATTTTGTTGTTCTTCGTCGGTTTCTTGAAAAGGGACTCTTTTTATATTCTTCTTCTGCTTCTTCTTGGGGGTGATGGGTGGCTGAGTGGAGCTGGTGCAAGGAGGGAGTACGGATTTGGTGATTATTCTTTTTGCGTCTTTGATGATGGGGTTGTGGCGGTCGATGGCTCTGCCGGCGGCGGCGCCGTCGTCTCCGGCGGCGGCGGAGAGAAGGAAGGCGGAGGAGGAAGGAGTGGAGGACGATGAACCTTGTTCCATGCTAAGGCAAATGGCTGTTGCAGCTTGTGATGCGCAGAATATATCTATTCCTTTCATTTTTCGATCTAATATTCTGATAAGGTTGAATTACTTCAAAATGGTTTTTTTGGAGAATCAATTTTTCTTTTCTGGGTGAAGAGAGAGAAAGAGAGAAAGACAGATGAGAGAGAGAGAGAGAAGTTAAAATGGAGAGAGAGAGAAGGTAAATTGGGAATATATATCGCCTCTTTCCTCCTTGTGAAAACCAGCAAAATTGGAATATAGGATTAATATTAGGGTAAATTATGTTTTCACTCTCTGAAATAAGATTAAATTACGAAAAAACCTCTCATGTTTGGATAATTACAACAACTTCTCAACTATGAATCTTCTTACACGTTCACTCATATAGTGTCAAATTCAACATGATCTTTTCGATTTCGTGGAATATTCGCTAATTTGTATTCGTTTTGTACAAAAATGAAGTTTTTGATGCACCACAATCTGATGTTTACAAGCCAAGAGACACATCTTATGATTATCTTGTTTCAACATGTTGAGCTCGAATAGTACAAAACATGTACAAATTGAAGAATATTCCACTAAATTTGACACCGGAAGGATGAATTTATAAGAAGATTCATATTTAAGGGTGTGATTGTAATTACCTAAACATGAATTTTTTCTTAAATTAACTTTACATCATAGAGGTCGCCGTAATTTGCCTTTAATGTTAAAGCTTTTCTTGTGCTAAAAACTAAAAATGTACTAGTGCTATATGATAAGATAAACTAAGATAGCAGATACTAACAATAGTAATAATTTTATGAAATTTATACAGTAAGTTTCTTTTATTTTTATTTTTATTTTTTTGATATTACTGCATGCAAAAAATGAAAGAGAAAATGGTGAGATGGCCTACCGAATAATAAGTAGCATTAATGAAAAGGAGAGTATACAAGAAATGAATTGGATAAGCAGACAAAACCAACGGTTAAATTTTGCAGCAAATTCTGCTCACATTCAGTCAAGGACAATGTACACACAGTAACATGTACAGGCTCAAAGCTAAGGCCTCGTTTGCTTCTATTGAATTTACAATTTTTTTGAAATTCAGGTTTTCTTCCTCTTATTTATTATTAATATTTTTTTTGAAATAATGTGATGAATTTAATGTGTGGTGGTGCATGTTAGTAGTTGTTGGGAACAATATCAACAAAAATCCCACCAGATTCAATAATATTTTTCATGATTTTTTTTGAAAAAGAATAAGGAACATATTTTTTGCCTGTTCAACCACTCAATTGGACTAAGTTCCAACTGTTTACCAAATCAGAGCGAAAAATTGGTTCATATTAAAAATACCTAGGGCAAATTTTCGGCCATCATTTAGGGTAAATTTAAATTACAAAAAACCCCCTCTTATTTGGATAATTAAACTACCACTCAATTATGTATTTTCTTACGAAAAAACCCCTCATCCAGTAGGTAAATTTAATATTGTTAACCTATAAAACAATACATAGTTCAGGGGTGGTTGTAATTACTCAAACATGAGGAGTTTTTTCATTATTTGACCTTACCTTATTTAATATACATTCGTTACCAGAGAGAGTTCGCTTTCACAAATCCTGTAACGTTTCATCATCTGCACCCCTGTTACAAAGTTAGAACAAGCAAATATTAGATAAGTATTTATCAGAAAACTTCAACAAAGGAAACTAACCTTTTTAACGGAAATATCGCTCGTAATCTTGCTGAGGTATACAACAACATATGATATCGAAGTCATTTACATTTTACACCACATACACGCGAAGGCAAAACTGTATTTAAAAAGTCGAACCCTAGTCAATATTACAAATATTCTTGAAAAGTTGTTACAAAAATTCAATAACGATATATCAGAGTGTAGTATGTCAAACGGAACATCTAACATACAAACAGGCTTTTGATTTTCTTTCTATACAACACACACGATTTTCCTCCCATTCGTTTTCTCATTTGTTTCCCTTTCCTTCATCTTCATTCAATATGCGGTTTCGAAAATCATTGACCATTCGAGGCAACCCCTCTTTCAATGAAATATTTGGTTCCCAGTTTAAAAGCTCCTTTGCTTTGGTAATATCCGGTTTCCTCTTGTGAGGATCATCCGCAGTGTTTGGTTTGAATTCTATTGTTGCACTTGGATCTATGGTTTCTTTGACAACCTTTAATTTCAGGAAAAAAAATAGTTTATTCAAGAATCTAAATATCATAAATAATAAACCAAAACAACCTCCATAGAGAAAAGAAAACAGTTTATTAGGACAAACCTCAGCGAGCTGTAACATAGTGAATTCTCCTGGGTTGCCCAAGTTGAACGGGCCCACATGCTCGCCTTCCATCAATGCCACCAAACCATCAACCTAACAACATTCATAAAATGAATGTGTAAATAACATGTTCAATATGTATCGAAAATATAATCCTACATTATGATTCTTATATATACAACATTGATCAAATGTGGTATTTGCTTTCGCTACATAGTACGTATTTCAGATTGAATTTTAGTTAAATGTATTTCAGACTGAAATTCATTATAAGAATCCAAACCAATATAATATAGTAATGGCGATACAAGAATGTGAATTATTTCTCGAAGAGAGAAGAAGTGACGTACCAAATCAGACACATATTGGAAGCTTCTTGTTTGTTTCCCATCCCCGTAGATTGTCATGGGTTGTCCACGTATAGCCTGCATAACAAAGCTATGGTCATAAGAATCTTCCATCAATTACAAAAGGCTCAAATTTCCACTTACAACTTCTTGATTTTATCTATCAAGTCACTGAAAATGTGTGTGGGAGACAAACCTGTGCAACAAAGTTGCTGACAACACGCCCATCATCTAGACACATTCGAGGCCCATAAGTATTAAAAATACGTGCAATTCGTACCTATCAAGAAGAGAAAGACGAATACACGTCATAAACAACTAACAAAAGACTAATAAGTAAAGAAGCATCAAGCCACCTAAATTGTATCTCTTCTTATACACTGCCAATATATTTGAAGCACAATTCAATTACGGTTGTGACAGACATATAATCCAAATACAACAAAGTCTCGGAATTCAAGAATTAAAAGTATAGCATGTATATTACCTCAACACCATCGCCCCTATGATAATCCATAGTTAAGGTTTCCGCTGTTCTTTTTCCTTCATCGTAGCAACTCCTTACACCTGATTAATTAATCCAATCAGAAACATAATTATGCAACCAAAAAACAACACAATTATTAAGGATAAGAAAATGCTTCTAACCTATCGGATTAACATGCCCCCAATAAGTCTCTTTTTGCGGATGCTCGAGTGGATCACCGTAAACCTCACTTGTACTTGTAAGAAGGAACCTCGCACCAATTCTCTTCGCAAGGCCCAACATATTAAGTGTTCCCATCACATTTGTCTTGTGATCACACGTCAAGGATCTCAACAACATATTCCAAGTCCGATACACGAAACATATGAACTCGTGTATAGAGTCTGGTTTAATTCGATTAAACCCTAACCATCACAATCGAACATACAAAAGCATAAAAGTACCTATCGTAGTTATAATGGATGTAAACATGCATTATAGTTAAGATCCAAAGTTAGCATCACAAATCACACAAAAATTCACAGTAAAAACACACACACAGAGAGAAAAAGGATATGATAGTCTTGACTGGATTATACTTGTAATGGACGGGGGAAGCAGGGCAAGCCAAATGGTAGATCTGATCGACTTCCAGCAGAATCGGCTCGACAACGTCGTGCCTAATCAACTCGAACCTCGGATTTCCAAACAAGTGCACCACGTTCTCCTTCCTCCCAGTGAAGAAATTATCAATGACGATGACGTCATCTCCCATGGCGATCAGCTTATCAACCAAATGACTCCCGACGAATCCGGCGCCGCCGGTGACAACAATCCTCTTCCTCTTGGCGCCGATGCCCACCGGAACCCTCCCAACCCCGTTCGAGTACTTGTTGTAATTGCGCCCATCGCCAAAAGGATTCCGAACAGTAGTAACAGCTAATTCGCGGTTCTGAGCGGAGATTCGGGGGCGGGAATCGGAGGAGGAGAGGGCGGAGAGGGAGGGCTGGATGATGAAGAAAGTGGAGCCGATGAGAATTCCGACGAGGATGAAGAGGAGGCGCTGCTCTTTGAGGATGTAGTTGAGGGAGCGGGGGAGGGATCGGGGGTGTTTTAGGGATTTGGGGGAGTAGGGTGGGGTTTGGGAGATTGGGATTTCTTCTTCTTTCCGCGTGCTTGTGGATTGCTTGTGCAATTGCTTCATGGCTTTTTGTGTGTGTGTGTGGTGGTGTTGTGAGGGAGAGGAATTTTTTCTAGAGGGTTTTGTAGAGGATTTGTTGCAGGTCAAATGGAGATGGTTGGCGTGAGGAGGAAGAAGAAGAAGGGATGAAGAAAGGTGGGTGTGGGGTCATCTCGTCTGGTGAATGAATGATGTTTGTTGCTGTTGGTGTTGCAGAAATGCAGAGACACACTGTAAATACATACATACATACATACATACACTGTGTGTATTGGATTCAGATTTGAATGTGTGTGTGTGTCTGTGAGTGTGTGTGAGAGAGAGAGATGGAGGGGAAGAGAGAGAGAGATGAAAAGAATGAAACGTTTTTAACGGTTACAAGTAACGGGCCGGTTTTAGCTGATTATTTTCTATTATGGGCCTTGTTAATATCTTTTTTTCCTATTAGGACCTGAATTTTGTCTCCCATTGAATTTTGATCCATTTTTATTATTTATATTATTTAGATCCGACCCAAATAAACCCAGCCCATTAATAGAGCATAAACAGTTTAAAAAGGCCGAATAATAAATAAAAACATAAAAAAGGTTTCTTTGAATAAAATATATCGACCACAGTGGGAGTCGAACCCACGACCTTCTGATCCGAAGTCAGACGCGCTAATCCACTGCGCTATGCGGTCAAGATGTTATACTTTCGCAGGTAATTTAATATATTAATACCTAGTAAATCTATACCTATGTTTCTTACACGATATGTTAAACTTCAGCAAATGCAGACTGATGGCTTGATGCATCTCTGCACTATGATTTTTTTTTTCTTGCACAAATAATTATACATATAATGAAGGTTTTCATAGAAATGTATTTTTAATATTCAATAAAAATACAAAAATATGTTGTTTGCAGTTACGGGTTTCCGATATCCTTCCATTTTCCAAATAAATAAAAACGGAGCTGATCGATACAAGATCGATATTCAACCAACTTGATAAGTTTTTTTATTTTTATTTTATTGAGTCAAAACTTGATATGTATTGTAATTAACCTCCTTAATTACATTGAGTTGACTTTAAACTAAAAAAATAATTACTTGCAATATCAAATCAAAGTACTCCATATGATATCATCAATAATCGATAAAATATTAATTTATATCCCTCCTATCTTCTTTATTTTCCTATTCAGAATCTGATAGCTTCGTTAATGCGTATCATGAAATTTTGAAAATGTAACACACATATCAAACTCAAATGCTCTTTTATTTCCCAAAAGTCAATATATTTTTCCATTTGAATTTTTTTATTACCAACTAGATTGAAATCGGAGCCCTAGCTACTAGTACTATATAGGCAATCTCCACCACTTATATTTAATATACATATTAAATTACGAAAGTATAATAATACCTAGCTACGAATATATGTATATATATTCATATTAGATAAGTTTATTGCATGGAAAGATAAGATAAGCGACTTTCACCAAAATACCAAGGCTAGAGCTCTATATAATTCAATCTGCAATTTGATAAAATATGTAAGGATTGAAAATATATATAATTAAATAAACTTAGAACACATATTTTTATTCGATAAACTCTGAAGTTCGACACGAACTCGAATTCAATTAGAAAAAGAATAAATAACAAAATATGTAAAAAAAAAATCAGCTGATATTTTTGAATAGATTTTCCTAACAATTCGTTTAGAAAATTGAAAAATGAATGAAA